CGACAAAGTTGCCAATATTTACTCTCTTGCCTTCATAATTAATTTTCATTTCTTGATTTGTCGGAGACATTTTTTTTAACGTGTAAGGTATGCAATTATGTAGTGTTATAAAATAAATAATCTATCTCTTTGCCTTCTATGTTGGAATTGAAAATTTGGTATATATAAATGTTATAATTCAAGTATTAGTTTATAAAATATGCAGATAATTGAAGTACATAAAAAAAAAAAAAAGCAGATAATGGAACTTTAGAGCTGACCAAAGGGTAGTTTCTCGATGGACCTTTTCTCTCTCTTGTATGTGAATGATCGATGATCCGTCACATTTCAATCATACATAAGGAAGAAAGTATGTAAGAAGGTCAATATAGTACTGCACACACATATATATATATATATGTATATATATATATATGTATATATATATATGTATATATCGCCCTAAGGAGGATTGCAATTGGCTTGTTGAGGACTAATTGAGTTATTATAATAATGCTAAGAGTGGAAATTAATTCACGTAATTGGGTATGTGGAAGATTAATGTAGTCGATTAACTAGAACGTACTTGCAATGACTACACCGTTGAAAATTACATATTATCTTGAGGCTGATTCTTTGTTATAAGCATGTTGACGCGAGCTTGATTATGGAGTGTTACTTGGAATTTAAACAGTTAAAGTTTGGTTGTAATGGAAGCTAGTACTAAAACAAGCATGTTTTATCGTGTCACATTTATTTAATTAGTTCTCGGTCACCAATATTTTATGTTTGTTTGTGTGTGCGTTTTTTTTTTTTTTGGGTAGAATACCAGTTTTTATATATGTTGAATTTTTATGATAATTAATTTCAATTTCAAGTACTTTCCTTTTTTTTTTTTTTTTTTTTTTGTGTTGTGGAATAGTTTCTTTGAACTTACAATTATGTAACTGATGTTTTACACACAAACATATATTTTTTAATTTTAAATATTTTTTATGGGTTTTAGATTTTTTTTTATAACTATAGAACGAAAACCATTGCATCTCTATATTTTATGATTATATATATAAACAAGTTTTCAATGAATACGTACCTATTGATGGTCATTCATCAAATATAAAAATTTAGTGACGTAGCGTACTAAGAATGCAATCTCATTAATTCATCATAAATTTTTTAGGCCAACTATCTAAATAATTATTAAAACATTTGATCAATACCTTACTATTAAAATAACAATATCCATTGTTGAGTAAATAGTAAAGTAACCACTAAAACCACGCTTATATGTGTATGTGTGATGACATCCGATGATATCTCGATCCCAAGACTTAACAAATCTAGGAGTGGATTCTGTTTAATGTTTCGCATTCGTGTTTTCATATGGATAGGGCAAATTATGTAGTACTTGCAACATAAGTAGGTTTAATAGATTACCAAAAAATAATAATAATAAAAGAGTAGGTTTAATAATGTTTGTTACCCATTCTTGACTTAAACTGCAAATGTTATAATTTAATTGAGTTGATCATGATCATGAGCATGTATTGTTGATATTTGATAAGGAAGATCAGAAGAGTACTCCTTAACGCAACTTATCAATACGGACAAAAAGCTCCTTATTCCCCATAATCATCTCCTTTTTTATTGAGTTTTTTAGTCAACATGAACTCCTGTTGTTACTATCATCTAGCAGATACCCTAAATTTCTGGATCATAACTCATACTTTACTCTCAGATGTTTGACCAGATTTTGTTTTTTGTTTTTTGTTTTTTTTTTTTAAGTTATCGCATTGGGTGCCATGCTTGCATGCATGATAGATTGACCTTATAATTGAGTGTTTTGATGATAAAGAAGATTATCACATAAGTCTTGTACACATCTCATTCATTAGTTTAACTTAAAAAAAAATGTTGGTTAAGCAATATTAATCCTAAATTGAACCATATCACACGTCAATCTATAATTCGAAAAAGTTTGGTTTGTAAATATATAAGTCCTATATATATATATATATCCGCATTGATCATGACTAGTCTCATCATCGTATGATGCCCCTTTAAGTATAATATATAGATCAAATTTGAAGAGTACGGATTTGAAAGTTGTCCCATTCTCATAAAGAAATCATATAATATAATTAATTCTCTCAATTAAGTTTTACTAGGGTGGTGACCACCAAAGTCATCATTTCAGATCTAGATGTTGTATTTAATTATGGCATTAAGTTAGGAAGAAAGTTAATTGCTTCTTTACTATTTTACGACTTTTTTTGACAAATTTTTAAACTTACCGAGCTACCAGGGAACAAATAGGGAGAAAAGGTGGAAGTTTTCCATGCTATAAAAGGTATTAAGTCAAATGAAATTTAAAAAAAAAAAAAGTATTTAATCACCATCATCAAGTTCTGCAGAAACTTCGTAGAAATTTGTGGTGAAGGCTAGCTAGCTACTAGGAACTACAAATTCAATATCTCTCAACCAAGTCAAAAAGTTCGGTCATGTGGTTGATTATAAATGATATATATATATATATATATATATACACACATATATATGTATATATTATAATATAGTACTTGGAAGGAAACTAATCATCAATTAAGTAGAGGACTAAATGATAATCACTATATATTAAAAATCTGATATATAAATATATATTACACCCACATATATATAATGGGAGATTAAAATTTAATTAATAGACTTGATGCTAGTCGCCCTCCCTTTACTTTAAAACAAAAAGAGAAAAATAAAAATAAAAAGAATAAAGAGAGTCAGAGAGGGATATTATGAGCCCGTCGTGAATTGTTAAATCGAGATTCTATTAGATCAATTTATAGCCAGTACTCCCTTATAAATTTCTAATACATTACTTCTTTTTTTTTTTCCCAAAATAGATGGAGAGTTCGAGTCGAGTTTATTAATAAGAAAAGAAAAAAAAACAAAATAAATAGAAGATCAGCAACCAACTACAAATGGCTAGCTAGCAAAACAAGAAAAATGAAAAGAGACCCTATGGGGAAAAACAACATCAACCGAAATATGACATGAGCCAATTCAGATTTCTTTACATAACTTACTCTGCCCACTTCAAACATGAAGACCATAGTCATTTTTCTTTCTAGTACTAGGGATCAAAGCTTTGCGTAAATTTGTCAATTTATCCAAAGATATTCACACACACACACACACACACATATATAGGTATGGTTTTAATGGTTACTCGAATATTTACTCATCAATAGACGTTATTATTTTAACCATAAGATATTGATCCGACGGTTGTAATAAACTAGATAGTTGACTAAAAAATTAATGACAATTAATGATCAAATTGAACTTTTATCACACCACGTCATTAAATTTATATATTTAATAGTAACCATTGATGAAAAATAAGTCTACATATATATATATATATATATATCATGAAACCACTAATTCTATTATACCCATTAGATTAGAAGGGTGTTAGGACAATTCTTACCGTTTGTTAAGAAGGTGCCACTAGTATAAATGGGCACAACATTTGCGGCGACGTGATGTCATCATAAATAACTGATTTGCCTTCGTAAATATTTTATTTTCGACGACATGTTGTCGCAAATTTAGTCGTCCTAAAAAATCAGATGCAAATAACATATTTGCAACAATATAGTTTTGAAATGTCATCACAAATATATTAGCAATAACAATCATTGCGAATAAGTCGTCATGAATGTTTGGTGGGGTGAGTTCTTCTATTTTGTATCAAGCTAAAATGTAAATCGAGAGAAGTAATGTACAAACTCCAAAGAGTTCTCTTCCTCTGTAAATCTCAAGTTTTTATCCTAGCCTTCTTCTAGTTCAAAAATTTTCTCATTTTCAACAGAAATAACAGGTACCACCTACTTGGTCTGCCCAAGAGCGAGGTTTGACTTTTGTAACTTTCTGAACGGTTTTGATCTTGGTGTAGTTCATTGTACACCATGCTTAGGAATAGGATCTTCATCATCCGTCAAACCAGGTCATGAATGAGGGAAAAAATATATATCAACCTTCTTATTAGTTACATCAAAGGCGTTAACATCAAATTAACTGCATTAATATGATCTACAACTTAATTAACTCTATTAATATCCTCTACCTCTAAATTATAGCTCCATCAACATTATTATAGTTTTCCTTAATTGATGATTATCTGAAAAAAGTGTACATATGTGTGTGTGTGTGTGTGTTTGAATTATAACCCTCGTTATTAGATGCCAAATGCTCGACCACTGAACTGAAATTGCAATACGTACCTTAAAGTCAATTAGGAACATTTATTTATATATAATACATTTTTTTTATTATTATTCAAGTAATTAAGAATTCTTGAAGTACTGCTCTCATGTTAAGTGCTTTCGAACCAACGAGCAAGAAATGTTGTACACCGTCAGACCTTCCGATCATGAGCTTAACAGTACTATATTAAGTAACACATAAAGTTAAAAGATATATGGTATCATTTTCTTCACTTCTTTTTTACGTGTCTCACTTTGTAAATACGAATTAAATAATGATGTCTAAACAAGATCCAACATTAAGTCAAATCACTCAATATGAATACTTGTTCCTGCTGGGAAGATGTTGCCTCTTGATCTCATATGTTACCGACAAAAAGCTGAAAATGATTAATAAAGAATATTAAGATATTAGAAATGACTCTTAATTTATCCTCCTTACATTAATTTAATCAGCGTTGCTTTGTCTTTAATCAACTTATAGAGATGGGGGAGAGTACTGTCTTAATCAACTAATAAACTAATTTTGGCAACAAGACAAAAAGAGAAAGTTCCATGTAAATGCATGTGTCTTGCGCCGATCATGATGATCATGATTATGAATAATATATATATATATATATATATATATATATATATATTAAGCCCTCAACGACCATTATCAACCAAGAAAATAGCGTAAAATGAAAACTTGAAATATTAATACTAGGAGAAAAAACGAGTACTACGTACTGCATTGTATATTATATCTTTTTCATAATACTATGAGCCAGGCTTTGCTATAGTAGTGCAAGTCCTTTTATTTGACAAAATAGCTTAATTACACTGCCTAGATCCACACAGGTAATAAAACCTTGGGATTCGAGCACATTCCAACCACTGTTTTGATCTGGATAGATAGATAGACCAAAACATAGCAAAAACACGAACACACTACATAGAATTTAAATATCATAAACATATATATAGCCAGCCTTATATATATAATATGTATATATATATATATATATGTAGGCATGTATATATATATATATATAAGGGACGCCTATTGGGTGACTAAGCTCCTAATAATTGCGGCCTCGGCGCTATCAGCGTCAATGGTAGCCAACAACTGGGTCAGACGCTGGCTTAGGTCGTCCACTTCTCTGTGTAAGTTTCTGATGTAATTGCAGGTCTCTTGTAGGACCTTGGATGCTGCTACCTGTACAACAAAGTCAGATCCCATTTATTTAAAACCCAAGTCGCTTTCTGTTTGTGTAACGAACTTTTCAGTATTTTTTACATGAAATTATATCATCATATATATATATATATGTATGCACACACATATATTATATTAGTAGCCGTGCATATATATTCACCACCCAACAGAAAATTATATATCTGGCCATTCTCCAACTTATATATATCACCACGCTATCATGATCAGTGACACTGCTACATGCTACAAATCACGTCACATAAATTTCAAAGTCGTGTGTGTGTGTGTCTGTGTCAATATTGGACCAAGGTGGCCTCGATGTACGTGTTACACACATGCATATATATATATATATATATATGCATATAACACTACACATGATAGATAAATATATAATATATAGAAAGTAAAACCTGTGGAAATGTAGTCCTTGATACCCGGGTCAAGTTTTAGACTACACCAACCAAGAAGGCCAAAAATTTATAAGCAACATGTGGTACTGTCGCACATGCGTCGTGCTAACAAATTGCATTTTTCCCATTTGTAATACTGTCTGCACTGTGGCCATATGGTCGTTGAGAACATATTATATTTGTACTTCTATTATATTAATAATTATATCAGAGAGAGAGAGAGAGAGAGAGAGAGAGAGAGAGAGAGAGAGAGAGAGTACCTTGCCGGAGGGCCTGTCGCGAATCTCCGGAACTAGTCGGCGTAACTTGGAAACAAGTTCTAGAATTTGGTCATCAGAAATCCTTGAAGACCCCGAATTCCTGGACCTTCGGCTAGACATATTGAATAATTATGTGTGTGTATATATATATATATATGTATAGATATATATGTATCTCTCTACAAGCTAGTGAAGCACTACTAATTTCTTTATGATGAAGAAGGCTGAAGCTAGCTTAATTTGGTGTCCTTGTTTGCAAAAGAAGAGTATATATAGCAACTATAAAGAGGCAGGTGAGAAGAGGAGGGAATGAGTGAGAAAGAAAAGTTATAAGCTTCTTGAAAACAAGAAGATCAGGCTGTTCTTAAGTAGAGAAGGACTTTACAAGTTAAGCTTTGAATCTTCTCTATCAATAACAGGTGAAAGTAATTAGACGGATATAAAGAGGTTAAAGGACCACAAAGGAAATGAGCTCAGAGAGAGAGAGAGAGAGAGAGAGAGAGAGAGAGAGAGAGAGAGAGAGAGAGAGAGAGAGAGAGAGAGAGAGGGTACAATAAGAAAGACAACAATGTTGGAGGTGAAGAAGACACTGCATTGGAGAAAGCAGTGGACTAGGCAAATATGAGAGAGAGAGAGAGAGAGAGAGAGAGAGAGAGATAAACCTAGCTAGACTTGTGTAAATTGTTCCAAGTTGGAGTTGGATCTCAAGTGCGTTTGAGCAAATATGTTCGTTTTTGACCTAACAAAGTGGGCCTCCTTGTACATGTCTCAATGCGCAACGCCATGTGATTGTAGGATTCAGATCCTCTCCACTACAAATCTCTCGCACAGTTTCCTCTCAACCAATCAGAGGATTCCACGTCGTCATCAAACTCTCCCGTGCCTTCATCTGATCAGGAGTCCAAACCTCCTCCCATGTTTCACGCTTTGACTTTGATACTTCTTGAGCCCAAATTTCCGACATGGCATTCTCTCATTGGTCGCCCCAAACCAAGCGTAGCAAGGCTAGCTAGACCAAAAGGTCTTATTGACAATGTTAAGGGATCTCAACTGATCATCATCATAACCTTTAACACTATTACAATATTAGAGTTTTAATTCATATATATATATATGTACATATATATTTCTCTTTCTACATGTTTGATGGAAATTATTAATTATTTTCAGTTTTGTTATTTGTAATTTTAGTAAATAACATTCACGAAACTTTTCTAGTCCCCAAGCAAAAAATCGAACCCTATCTGCTGCGTGTGATATGTGCCATTTTTCTTACTTCCTTTGTTAGGGACATAAGTACGTGAGGCTTATAGCATCCCTGGATTTGTCAAACCTTCGTTTCACATGCTATTTCCCTGTCACACACGACATGACACGTGGCGTGGCTTAAGGCCTAGTACAAATATCATATCATTTTGTGAGATGTTGTTTCTAGAAAAAGGCATAGATATGAAGTTTTCATGCTTTTGTCAAGCATTGTCACGTGTAATAAAATTGGACGTCCCCTGTGTGTCTCCCGGGACCCCCCAACCCCCTCTTTGGATGTGAACTCCTTTGTTTGTTGCTTCCAATTCATTCTAGTTAATACCAGATTGCCAATTCCATTTATCTAATATATATTGTTGCCACTTTAATGACCAGCGAGTAGTTGAAAGATTATGATTATATATCGGCATGCACCCACTTACCAGAAAATTAAGAGCATTATATATATATATATATATATATATATAATCATATATGTGTGTGTGCAATACGTACGTCCAATATATATGCACCATACAAAACTTTTCTTCTAGCTATATATATATATATATATATTATTTATCGTGGTGGTGGTTTGATGTAGATAATTATTTATATGGATAAGTATACTTGAATTATAAGAAGTTCTTAAAGAGGATTAGTTTGTGAATTCTTGGTGAATTAAGTAAGCGAGCTGGTGAATTACATTATAAATATTTAAAATATCTAGCAAACTTTATGAATTGATCTAATTGACACCGTCAATTATTTTTCTTTGCATAAATTATCTATGATGTTGACTAATGACTGATTAAAGTTAACTATTTAGCAAAAATAGCAAGCTCGCTATACTAAACCATGTTTGCTACAGACAAACTCGCATATATATATATATATATATATATATGCGTGATAAATCTGATTAGAAAAAGCTTATGTTAATTTATAACAATGTTAATAATATTGAGGAAATTATTCTATATTTTTGAACTAGAAATACGCAAAAAAATTAAAAAAATTTTAAAAAAAATTGTGTGAAAGAGAAAGTACACATGAAAATGTTAATTATGCAGCACGCAAAAGTCTACATGTTTGATGTGCACAGTTCATTACTAGTATGTTTTTTTTAGGAACAAAAATTGACTAAAATATCATCTCATTGATTGCAACATTTTTCCCCCCATACATGTTAGTCCATGTGAGGATAATAAGTTAGCAGAAACAATTTCACATCCGAAAACCCTATCTCCTTTACTTATCTGCTTGGTCTCATTTGGTAAATCATAAATTGTCTCTTTGAGATCTTAGTGTTCCTTAAATATTTATCAAAGCCCCGCAATTAACTTCCCCATCTTCCTCCTTTCTAAATTACAAGTGGTATTGCTGCTTATTTGGGGTTCCAAGTGGGGACAAGTGCTATGGAGCTATATATCTACACCTATATATATCGATGGATACAATATCAAGTAATTACATCAAAAAGGTCCAACGCAAGACAAGCCAGTAACTTTCATGAATCTTGTTGAAAATTATGTTGGAAGTTAGGTCGGTTAGAATCCCATGATCTATGATGAAAAAGGTAAAGTAATTAGCTAAAGGATTGCCTTAATCTTGGCTTTAATTTCCCCCATGGCAAACGCATGGGGCTTTCACTAATTATTTACAACACTTTACATTCAAGGAAGTAAATAAACCTTTTTATATATACACACACACATATATATATATATATATATATATATATTTCACTAATTAATATTATTCAATTTGCTAGTTGAAGGTTATTATGATGAGTCCCCCACAAATCCAACCTCTCTATTTGACTTGCTCCTTCCTTTTTCTTTTTTTTTTTTTAAAAACAAATGATCAAAGTGTTACAATTACTTTTCAATCTCCACAAAAGTTTACATGATCTCCTAACTTGGTTTTCTTTTTCGTTTTTTTTTGGTTCTTCTTTTCCTAACACCTACTGCCTAGCCACAAAGTTCTTAAAAGAGAAGTTAGGAGTATCCACAAATCCAAAACACTCATGCTTAATTAAGTAGCCGTTAGTTAATTTTATCCTTTAAAATAGTAGTTACAAGTACTTTTGAATCTCCGACAGCTATAATTAATGATGTCTAAGTATATCCACCTACTTTCCTCATCACAAGTTAAATGCCTTTATTTATCACCACTTATATATTCACTTTGATATAAAATATATATATATATATATATATATCACCATTATAATGGTTTTTTGTATGCATAATTATATATTTACTACTGTAACAAATTGTTACATATGCTTCACCAACCCATCTTGATCTATTGGCTTTATTGACCACCAAATAGACGTTGGTACTAATTTTTCTTCATCAATTATTGGATTTCAAGTAGGGAATGGCTTGGAACGATCTTTCACTTTTGCAAAGACACAATCCTACGCATGCTTGCCGACTGCTTCTAAATCCATGCATTAGTCAATTCACACACACAATGCCTCCATTTTAGACTTATTGAAAAAAGCCTGCCTAAGTATATAGCTTGCTTCCTGCAGGATCTTCTTTTTTCTTCTCTCTCTCTCTCTCTCTCTAAACGCATTCTATAATTTCTCCACAATAATCGTAAATCTAGAATTCCATCCTTAAATTGCTCTTTCTTGAATCCCCAGTACTTTGACAAAGATCACTATAATTTTCTTCAAACATTTATTGAAAAAATAAAATAAATATGTTGGCCGATTTGATAAGCTATATATGGTACAAAATCAATTCGCATACAATCTCATATTGACCACTCTTCACTGATCTCTTGTAATAGTTTTTCCTATTATGTATATACAATTTTATTTATTTGAAGAAACGGATTTTACGGATATCATTTAGATTATACTCCACCAACAAATAAGATCGGTAAATTAATTTGTTTCAGATCCTGTCCAGCCGAAACTCAGCTTCTTAAAGTTATGCGGTTCCTTCATGACGCGTGAATTTGAATAAAGAAGAATTAGAAAATTTTTAGTTTCCAATAATCATATATATAACTTTGCTCACAAATGAAGGGGAGAAATTAGTGCTGAAAAAAAAAAGGATACTGTCAGCAAGTGTACATGATCGCCACTTATTCTGAAGCTAATAAGAACACTCGGAGCAAAAAAATAAATCAATTAAGAATTTAAGGAATTAATTATGAGAAAAATAAAATAAATTCATTATTCTTACATAAGAATTTTTGCGTTTGTATTTCAAATTAATAATTTTATTCGAAGTGATACATGGTATTACTCGCTGTGGTTCAATTTAATTTATTTTGATTTCGTTCTACGTTTCTTAATTTGGACTCAGAGCAGCCTGAAATTTGTGATCAACATGAGATTGTATTTGAATTTATTACATTCATTTTTTATTTATTTATTATAGTGATCATTTGTGATCACTCTCGTTGCCACTCACATTCTTCTTTGTCATTTTTTTTTAATGAAAGAGAAGAGCCAAAGAAACTACAATTTAATAATATAAATTTTTTAACTTCTTAAAATTAAAATTTTATTTTGTTTTGTGAAAGAGAGGAGTCGATTTTATTTGTTGTTTCAATTTTTTAGGCACTTTCTTATAACACAAATGAAACTAAAATTTAATCTTATTTTTGTTATTTATCAGAGGAATATCATTCTTTCAATGTATATGGTTTTTTCTTCCTTCTTTTTGTTTCTTGATCTATATATACACACATATATAAGTGAGAGAATTTTAAATTTTCACAAGTGTAAAATTATCGTTAAGTTATGTCTCTTCTTCCTATTTGTTATCTTTCTTCCATGTATCATCTTTTTGTTTACTGAATTATTTTTTCTCTTTTTTGAATCAGGCGAACTTTTCTTAATACCAATTTTTTTATTTATTGTAGTTAAAGTATCGTTCTTTCTTTACCAAAAAAATTCTAACTTTGTTTTTGTTTTGTGTTTGGTAGGATGGAAGAAAAAAGGAGGGGGAAAAATATTAAGGGGATAGAAAATGTGAATGAAAGAAAAAAAATTAGTTTTTCTTTATCTTTATCTTGTTTGATATAATAAGAGGAAAGAAGATGAGTTTTGATATGATAAGAGAAAAGAAGATAAGTTTTCAACAAAATTA